AATGCAATCATATTTTTCTCTTTTTAATCTAAATTGTCTTGTTTCATTGGCAACGTATCTCACTAACCTCCTAAATTCAAATAAAATGCGCAAATTTTAAGAAAGAAATACTTATGATGGAAAGAAATACTGGCAATAAGAATAATTGTCTAGATGCCAAAGAGAGCCCAACAGATTTTGCTTTCACAAGTGGAGCAGTACGGCTATCGCAATAGTGTTCCACTTGATTTATGCATATAAATAGCTTTATTATAATTCATGCAGGGAGTATTACAGATACAGACACTGCAATGTAAGTAGAACAGGAAAGGAAAACAGAAAAAAAGGAGAAAAGATGAAAGAAATAGGAGATAAAAGGGGAGAAAAAAGGGAGAAATACCTATTTAGATTTGAAGTTTTTTGCAGTGTACTCCATGTTCTCCATCAGCTTACTCCTTTCTATCATTCATATCTTACAGAATTTAATCTCATCATTTCCAAGCTGCTCCTGCAAAGTAGAAGCTGTGTCCAGAGATAATCCTTTAATTGTAAACTTTTAAAACAATTCAAATAATCCAGGGTTATAAAATCTGACATAACGTCTGTCTCAATCTCTCCCCAACAAGCAGGTGCAACAGCTTTCATTGTTGTTTTTTTATTATTCCTTGGGGCATTTAAATTTGACCAGGTTGTGTGAGGCTGTTGATAATAAGTCAATTTGGAAGCATTACAGGCAATGCAAAAGCATGTATGGAGTCACGGTTGTTTGTGAGTAATTAGGTCATTTGGAGAGGTGAAGGAATAAGCGTTGTATAATTGGCTTGCTACAGTGCATGAATGTCTGTTCTAATGTAATTATGACAGCTAATCAGGCTTAGTGGAGCTGGGTCATCTCTCAGTTTTGTTAGTGTATGAGCAGAGAAGGTACAGAGCTTTTCCATATTTTATGTGTTTATTGCTGGGAAACAATTTAAATGGGATTAACAACTTCAGTGTCCGTCGTAATAGCAAAGGTAAGTCCTTAAATTTATTTTTTTACTTAGCTTTTATATAATTTTGCCTGTTTGTTGGGTTTAATCAGACATAATTTAGAGACCTTGAGAAGTTATCCTTTATGCAATGACGTAAAAGTAATCATGCCTCTTAAACTTTTTTATATTTTGTCATATATCTTACAAGCTAGTAGAAAGAAGAGCATAATCGTAAAGGGAAAGAAGTCTAAAATACGTGACTTACTGTCAGTCTACGTCATTTGATGAAAAGCTTTGAAGAAAATCCTTCTGGAACTTCTGAGAGATCTTCTTCTAGCTTTTACTTGTGTTTTTATCAGCTCTGATCAACTGTCCCTGATGGAGAAAAATATCCCCACAGCTTGATTCTGCCATCTCCATGTTTTACCAAGAAATACTAAGGCTGAATATAATTGTTAGCTTTCTGTCACACATAATGTGATCCAAACAAACCAAAAAGTATAATTTTATAATAATGGATTGCCTTCCCTTCGAAGTGTTTACTGCACACCTTAAACAGACTAAAAAACAAAAAAAAATACTTTCAAATTGCTTTCATTCAACAGAGTCCTCTTAGTCTCTTTGTGATGTAAATTGAGGGATACAAATATTTTTGCAAGGCACTGTATTGAAGGCTGGTCCTATGTTTGCAGGATGATGCCAAGTCTGAGCCCACATTTACCAGTTCCAAGTCCATCCTACTCTCAGGCGAGGGAGAACCTGGTGAGAGCCATCCCACCCAAGCTCCTCTGTCTGCTGGCCTGTGGAGGAAAAGATTGTCGCTATGAGGGACCAGAATGCTGGAAATCAAACCAACAAGTCATTCGAGGCATTTTTTCCTCCTGGTGAGAAGATGTAACTGCAATATGACAGATGTTTTGGAGCTGTTAATTAAAACTTATTGACTGTAAATCTGGTTTGTTCTAGGGTGACGGATGATATTATAGCAATGGCTCGTCCATCCAATTATCTAATCAAGAAGTACAATATCATAGAGCAATTTCAGAGGTAATTACTTTACTAACTTCTATGTGACCGTTTTCCTTCGGGACACATGCATAACAAGTCACCAACCATCTTTGCTCCCAGGTTGAAGATTAAGTCGGTCATCAACACGCAGCTTCCAGGAGAGCATGCTCATTGTGGACCTCCACTAGACCTTGAGAGTGGTTTCACATACTCTCCGCAGACCTTCATGGAAAATAAAAGTGAGAGATTATTGCAGATTAAGAGGCAGACATTACTAATGATAAAATGTGTGCATGAAATGTTGTGGGGTTGTCACAGCTAATATGCATCTTCAACACTAAAGGCTGATTTCTACTTTGAAACTAGGTCATCTGCGTAGGTGTCGCAGTGAACAAAAAGACGTCCCCGCCCCCTCCTCAGACTCTCTGCTGCACCTCTCCCAAATTGTAGCTGACCGCAGACAGTGCCGTAGACGGGAGGCTGGCTTGTTTTGTTATTATGACCGAAATTGCGGAAAACAACTCGTGAAGTTGGACCAGCTAGAAGAGCGAGGTGTGCGAGAACACTGGGAACCCTTTTTCCACCTGGATCCCAGCTATTTTTTGCCTTCATGTCCCTCTGTTGACAAACTCGCCCCCTCTTCCTCACTCGCGGACCACGCGCTAGCTGTGGGCATAGATCTAAAATTTCTGCGTCAAGCTCACTGCAACACACTGCTGCAGGAGTATAACCAGCCCTTAAGGCCATCAAAGACAATTCACCGACTGCAAACTGGGAAGGTGATTCCCCTCCCCAAGAAGGGGGACTAGAGGTTGTGTTCTAACTACAGGGGGTTCACAATCCTAAGTCTCCTAGGGCAGGCCTATGCATGGGTGCTGACAGACTCCTCTCTGAGAGGAAGAGAGTTCAACCTATTAACCTCGGCTCCAGGAGAAGCTCCATACCCTCTGCAAGGTGCTTGAGGGTTCATTGGAGTTTGCCAAACTGCTCTGTCTGTGTTTGCCGACCTAAGGAGACGGGTTTTCAGTTGATTCAGAGGCCCTTTGGTCAATCTGGCTAATTTACAAGTGGAACAGGTATTTGGTCTGCATTAACTTAGACCTGTCCCGGTGCACCTTTGATTGCAGCAGAAGTGCACCATATCCTTAAGGTCCTTGTCACAACCTTTATTGATAGGAGTTCTAGGTTGAGCCAGAGAGGGTCTGGTTTTTGCAGATGATATATTTCTGCTGGCTGCCTTGATGGAAGTCAAACATTAACTTTGCATGTAAACCAGCTGCTTTTGCTGCTTCAATTGCATGTGGAAGGAAAGTAGCATTAGAGATAGTGTGAAGAGACTGGTCCTCCACATTAAGAGGAGTCACCTGAGGTGGCTCTGACATCTTTTTCGGTTGTCCCCTGGATGTTTGGACACCCCAATAAGAAGAGGTCCAGGTGATGGCTCAGGACATGCTGGAGGGACTATGTCTCTCAGCTTGCTTGGGGACACCTCAGGATTCTCCTAGCAGGTGTCTGGGGAGAGAGAAGTCTGAAAGTCTATTGCTGGGACTGCTGACCCCTCAGCCTGGTCCTAGATAAGTGGAAGATAGCGAGGACGGGTGAGAAAGTGTGAATGCAGCAGGGCTTTGTATATTTTGTATGGATATCTTGTTAATGTAATGCATTATTCCCACATGAGCCAGACACAATTTCACATCAAATGACTGTAAATAAACACAAGATTTACACAAGAATTCTGATTTATTTCCAGTTTACTTTTACAACTTTGGGATGCCAGATTTTGGAGTGTCGTCTCTTGTTGGAATCATCGATGGGGTGAAGGTTTTGGCCTTTGCAGTGAAGGAAGGACGTGTAGCTGTTCACTGTCATGCTGGCCTGGGCAGGACAGGTAAAACTGATCATTGTTCTCTCTGGGAAATTTACACTCAGTCCTGCTATTTTATTCACATGGTAATGGTTTAACCACAGACTTTAATGTATTTTATTTAGATTTCATGTGACAGATCAACAGAAAATAGCGCATAGCTGTGAAACAGGTGGAAAAGTAGAGTGGTTGTTTTTTTAAAAAGCATATAAAAATATTAAAAATTCGCTCTGTGTTTGTATTCAGTCCTTCTGAGTCAATACTGTGTAGAAATACTTACCACTGCAATACATCTGGAGACTGAATCTTTCCCTTAAAAAATAAATCAGACTTATATTAGCTTGATTTTCAAGTCTTGCATTATTTTCTTTATTTGAAACTTCAAACTAAATAAAAGTTTGGGCTTCATCGAAACCATTTGGTTGCAGGCTTATTTACGATCATTCATTGTTTTACTAGAAAGTGAACAACTACTCCAGTTTCAGGTCTTATTTATGACGGGTCTTTTTAAAAAGTTTTCCAAACTCTATACATATCATCACCTCTGACTGTCTGTCCTAGCTAAAAAAAAAAAGCATTATTCAAGCACCACCTTGTTTTATCACGCCACTGAAAGTTTTGGTTATTGTGCAGTTAGTTTTGTGCAGCACATAATATATTGCATGTTGGCCAAAAAATTTTTATTTGGACTCAGAGTACATTCTCCACCTGTTCACTGTTTTCTGCATGGCTTGTGGCAAACACATCTTCTCATGGCTTTTATTCAGCAATTGCATTCTTCTTGCCACTCTTCCATTAAGGCCACATTTGTAGAGTAGATTATTTGTCCTGCTACAGGTAATAGATTCTGCCACCTGACCTGCAAATATAACTCCTTCAAAGTTACTTGGCTGATTCTCTAATTAATGAGAAAAGAGCTTCTCAATCTAAATAAACAGCAAAGTTCTTGGTAAACTTGCAGTTATTTTTCCCTGTTCAGAGGATCCACTGTTTTGTGGGATTTTACAGATTTGTCTAAAAATCCCTGCAATGTTATCAGTGACCTGACTCCTTGGTATTCATATTGTTTTCTAAAACCCACTAAGGTCTTCACAGAATGAAAATATTTTTACTTCATATTACACACAGGTTACTTCTGAAAAGATGCAAAATGATTTTATTTCAGGATACATGAGTAAAGGGGGACAAATGCAAATACATGCCATACTATTTGAATTTTGACCATAAAAATCATGTGTTATTTTCATTATATTTTGCACTTTATCAAATGAAGTCTGTTGTTATACTTAGACAAAATGCACAAAAGTTCAAAGTGTGTTACTACAAGGCAGTGTGTAACAATAATTGAATGTTTACATTCCTAACTGTCTGTTGATGTTGTGTTTTCTCTTTTGAAAGGTGTCCTCATAGCCTGTTACCTTATCTACACCCTGCGTATAAGTCCCAGTGAGGCAGTCCACTATGTTCGCATTAAAAGGCCCCGTTCTATCCAGACCCGGTCACAGATAAACCAGGTGTTTGACTTCGCTCGCCTGCTCGGCACGCAGCTCGCTCAGTATCCAGACCTCAGCCTGCGCCACGGAGCCCCTTTTACTCTCCAGCATTATTTAAACCGACAAGCTCTGCTGCTTCATGGCCAGGAGGCACGAAGACTCAGACATACTCCCAAGGTTGGGACTTTGTAATATGTCTATCATCATGCATCTCTACCATGTGTCACAATTCGCCTGCATATGCTTTTTGGCCCAATTTGATCAGGTGCTGTACCTCCTATGTGTGCGCCTCTCCTGTCTGGCTCTGGGTCTGTCTTCTCCTCCAGAGGTCCATGCTGAGCTGGAGAAGAGAACAGCTTTGAGGGCTCTGAGCAGAGCTGTGAGAGAGACTCTTGTGTCCAGGCAGTACTTGCCTTTGTTAAGTGAAGGCCGTAAAGGCTCTTGGACCGGCTCAGGGTCAGTGTCCTCCTGGGATGAGCCTCTGGGGTTTTTAGAGAGGAAGCGTGAGTGTTTGCTGGATAAACGCAGCTACAGTGAATCCGATGTTACCAGGATCAGAGTTTATGAGGTGAGATGCATTTTAATTGCATATGTTTCTCTGTACATTCAGACTAACTGAAGGTGATAATCACTCTGTTACTTTCTCTCTGAAAGGACCAGGAGCCAAGCTCGTATTGCATTACAGCATTTGGAGATGAGAAGCACTGGTGCTTGCAGGATCTGATGTGGGATGATTCCAGAGTAGTTAATCCAGTTTTTGGCACATCACTGTATCCCAAAAAACAATTTTGCATGTCCAACACCGAGGTGACAAACTTGAGAACAAGTAACAACAGCATCAAAATGTTTAAAAGCTCAAATAAAAAAGATTTTCTAAAATGCAGCTCCAACCTGGAGGTAAGGTATTTTTCCTCAGAAAGAGAATCTGATGTTATAGACAGTTTGTCTGCAATGCAGTAAACTTTCATAATTTTCTAATATAAAGTTACACAGAAACCTAAACATCCCTGGCCCAACATCGATGGCCCGACCGGTAGCCAAAGCAATGGCAGAACAAGGTCCTCCAGGTGAAACTGTTCTGCAGAGGTCAGCTCTGCTGCAGGTAAAAACAAAATCTAAACATTTAACAATAACCGTATAACAATAATAATAATTTAATGTTTCAATGTATTTACTCTCTTATGTTTTCGAAAGGAGGAACTAAATAGCAGTGAATGTGGCTGGGCCCTGCTGGTCACCGAGTCAGATCCTCATGTCCTTTCTTGTCTCTTGTGGACCTGGTTGGAAAGGTTAAGGGTTAGTAGCATTAAATTAACAGCTGGTTATGCCACTGTGCATTACTTTTTAGAACCTTAGTTGAATAGCTGGGCCTCTTCTGTTTCCTCTTTGTCATCCAGGACCCTGTTTTGTCCAGTGAGGATATAGAAAAGTTAAAAATGGGAAAGAACAAAAAGCCTCTCAGCGTCCTCAAGAAGGTAAAATATCAGACCCAGAATGGCTGTGATTCCTATAAATGTGTGAATGTTTTCAGCACAGTTTTTTGTTTTGTTTTATACTTACAGCCACAAAGGCACACAATCTATTGTCTGTTGAATTGTGTGAGCACAGTGTTCAGCCTTTGTCCACACAGAGAGGATGCTGTCCTGCATCGTCTTGCGTGTGCACTAACAAGGGTAAGATAAGAAGATACTAAGAGTAAATCTATTTTCCTTAATACAAATGCTATAAAACTGATGAGATAATTCTTACCCAACAGCGTCCTCAAGAGGAATATGGAGTCCTAAATCCCTTGATTAAAGTCCTGAAGGCCAGTTTGACAGAAAGCTTCCACACCCACAGACACATTACGAGGGCCTGCAGCATCAACGCTACCCTTTGAGACCTTTAAATTTCATCTGGGTGCACAAAAGCAATTAAGAAAATATTTCTGTAAAACAACTGAATAAAGATGTGAATTTCATATAATAACCCTTATAATGTAAATACGTGTGGATGTTATATTATTTTTACTTTTTTCTTATCTTATTGTGTTGTGACTGTCAC